GACCAGCAAGGAGGTCGCCAACGACAAGACCCTCAAGACCAAGCAGGAGAAGGACCGCAGACTGCGAGAGAAGAAGCAGAACAACACCAAGAAGTTCATGGACGAGCGGAAGGTTAGACTATTAAAAAAGAAATCTTTCAATATTATTAACTGAAGAAGTTACTATTGATTTTATTCCAGTAAATATCTTTATTTCTATGCGTTTGTTATCACAATTTGTCAAAACAATTACAAGACTTCATCTATACTTTTAGACAACTTATTTAATTGATACTGTCGCTTTTATCTCAGAGCAATACTTCTCGTCAAGACTTAAGTTACGCGCCAATCTATCCATACCTCTAGTGACATTGACAGCTGTCAGCTAGGGACGTGACGTTTATGCCGATAATCTAGAGTTGCGCCAATTCTACACCACGGTACTCATTTTGTTCCCAACAATACTAATATTACAGAGGGAAAACATTTGTATTTTTTGTATATATTGAAATAACCCAAAAAATACTGGACCGATTTCTTAAATTATTTCATAATTAAAAAGCTACGTTATCAGTGGCTACGGTTTTTGTATATTTTTAATTTCGCAGACGAAGTCACAAACAACAGCTACTTATTAGAAAACTAAATTGTCACTGATTGACTTAGCCTAAATTTAACTAGATTATTGAATTTCTTAGGTATTATAATAAATTTTGTTTATTACAGACTCAACTAATAAAGCATTCTCGTGAGAAGGAGAAACTGAAGGGAACACACGACAAACAACTCGAAGAACTCTCCAAAGATGTAGATAATGTAAGTAGTATAACAAAGCGATTTAAATATTACATCTTACTAATATTATAAATGCTAAAGTTTAGATGGATGGATGTTTGTTAGTTTGTAGCCTAAACGGCTGAACAGATCTCGATGAATGGCATAGATGTAGAAGATAGTCTGGAAGAACACATGGGCTACTCACTTTTGTTTTTTAAAATTCCACGCGGACGGAATCGGGGGCGATTGCTAGTTAAATATTTTTAGCAAAACTAAACTTAGATTTTACTAATTATTCTATTAAAACTATATTTAGTTAATTACTATGATCAATACTACTCGTTCTTCAATTCTTTTACAAAAAAAACGTAGCAGCCTATATAAATTTTTTAAAAAATATTTTCTAACGTTACTACAAAAATGCATTGTGATATGAAATAATTCTAGCTAAAGCATTAATATGAGCTTCTTAACAGTTAAAATATAAATAACTAAAAGTAGACCCATTAACTGTTATATATCTGTGGTGTCGTGGTGGGCAGAATAAAAGATTTCGTCGTAACCATTAATTTATTCACTCTTAAAATAAAAAAAATATCACTTGCATACGTCTTGTCTTGCCGTCTTTTACACACTCCTACCTCATTCTTTTTTCATACATCCGTCACGTTCTTTCAAATCAGTTCATGCGTATCAATCTTATTCACCTAACATTCCTTTTCGTTCTGAAACCACAGACCTACATATCTATACTAATATTATAAAGAGAAAAGATTTGTATTTTTGTATTTATTGAAATAACTCAAATTACTGAGCCAATTCGAAAAACACATTAGAAAGCTATACTATAATCACTAAATAATATTTATAGTCTATATAATTTACTATTTTTTAAATCACTCGTGGACGAAGTCGTCGGCGACAGTTAGTTTGTAATATATGTATTTTCAGCTGATCGAGATGTACAAGATGGAGGAGTCGGAGTTCGAGATGGCCAGCAAGACGGAGTTCCTCGCATGAAAGTACCCGCACCTCGCCCCGCTGCTGCGACAGCTGCCCGGCTAGTGCGGTATATCGTACTGTGTCGTACAGTACAGTAAAGTACAATACCGTAGAGTACAGTACAATACCGTAAAGTACAGTACAGCACCTATAGTACAGTAGAATACCATATAGTACAGTACAATGCCGCAGAGTACAGTACAGTAACGTAACGTACTATACGGTACTGTACTGTACCGTGTAGTACTGTGTCGTACATTTCTGTATTATGACGAACTATGTATGAATGTATGTACTATGTATGTACTATACGTGACATACTGCACGGTACTATACCGTACTGTACCGTAGTACGGTATTGTACACGTCGTATAGTACTGTTCGCAATAGTACGGGACTACGACACAATACCGTACTGTGATATAGTACTATACAGTGGTACAGTCCCGTACAATGACGTACTATGTAGTGCGGTATTGTTCTTTACAGTGAAGTACAATGCCGCACAGTAGTACAGAGCAAGGTACAGTGCGACACAGTACAATGCGGTACAGTGTCGTTAAGTGCGGGGAAGTGACACAATGATCTCTAAACAAACTATACGTGTTTTAGTGTTAATTAGTTCTAAGTTTTCAGCCTGCATTAATAAGTAGATATAACTTAGTACAAAATTTTTCTAGATATCAATAGAGAAAAAAATTATTTTATGCTATAGAAGTAACTTTTTTTGTGTTTTTTTAATGAAAAAAATGAGTCTTCAATAAACATACGGTTACTCTTAGTAAAATTATCAAAATAGTTAATTTTTTATTGCAGGCTGATTTAGGCTAAGTAATTTAAGTATAAAAGAGTTTCCATAAGAAACCTGTATGGAAACATTGTAATCTCGCTCATTTACAACAGATTTCGTAGTTTCATCAGTGTAAACCTACGGTTACCTTGAATCCTCAACACTATTAGTATTTAAGCCAATCTTATAATTAAAAAAACTTTTTATCACTTTTTAGCCTTACAAATAAACGCGGAATAAATTTAGGAATAAACTGAGTATAAGCAAAATTTGTACTAATATTTTCTTATACCGCGTTTATTTGTAATTTTATTTTAATTAATGATTAAAAGATTCCTTCATTTAATTTATTACAACTAATCTCGTATTTAAAATAACAAACTACAAAAATATATTGGAATTGACTATTATAGTAAGTATAATTTTTTTTAAGTAATGCCATAACAAAAATTTTGTACTAAGCGTTGCAACTGAACTTTTAAGGTGAGTTTCCACTGACATATATGACTACAAAACAAATTTAAATATGGTTATTATAAAATTTCGATGTTAAAATTATATAAATTTGATAAGAATATAGAACTAAAAAAGGACTTCTGTCTTAGAATTGATAAAAAAAATACAACTCAGAGTCTAGTACTAAATCTACACTAAGCGATAGTGGATATTTAACTTCTATGGCAATTAGAGTTTCTGTGCACTTACAATAATAATTTTAGCTGATTTAAGACTAAAATATTTCCTATTATAAAAATATTTAAAAACTACATATTGTTATATATGTATTTTATACATCAAAATAAGTTTTTATCTAACAAATTCATTATAGATCCCTCTAGGTCCTAAAAATACCCTAGATTTAAAAACAGTATTGAAATTTATTATGATATTGAGAAATTAATTTCCTTAGTAAATTATGTAATTCTCAGTTAAAAATGTACTTAAAAATAATAATTATTATCTTATTAAGTAATAGATATATGTTTTCATGTTTTTAAAGTACCGTAATGTGCCAATGTTATAATATGCTATCATTCCAAATCACTATCTTGTTAGAGGACCAAAATATCAAGAAAAATTAAAACAAATCATCTCATATATCTTGTATATTAAGAATAAAGCCGGCACACACGTTCAGTTTTTACTGAACAGTCAAACTATTAAGTCAAAACTGAACACGAACTGATGTACAATTTAATTGACTAAAAATTAAGTCTACATGTTCAGTATATACTGTACAGTTCAACTATTCAGTTAAAACTGAACATAAATTAAACTATAGTTTAACTCACAGGTGAAATAGCCTGAACATGTCAGTGTTAACTGTACACATAGTTGTTCAGTAAAAACTGAACGTGTGTAGCAGGCGTAATCAGTATGTTTATGTAATTCCAGGTTTCTTCTACATTTAAGTAATAAATGCAATTTAATTGTAATTTGATTATAAATCATAACTGATTTCTATCATAAAAATAATTACTTCTATTATTATATTTCGTAAGTACTAAAATAAATATAAGAATAATAATTTTATTTCATATAGTATTTATCTTAGGTGCCTAAGTACATAACTAAATTCTAGTCAATTTTATTCATAGGTCTTCATAGTGATATTAAAAAAAATATTAATGTTGCCAGTATGTTATCTTTTTAAAGCATCTATTTAAAATGTTACCAGAACATTTCTATTTATTAAGATTAAAAATGTATTTATTTTCTTTGTATTAAAAAATTTTGATGTTAGAATTTTGAAATATTTAAAAAATTTAATTACAAATATTAGTGAGAATATTTTTAGTAGATGTTTCGTAATTATTAAAATTATATTTAAATTCACTGTGTTGATATATTTCATGCACTTTTCGGCTTTGATATTTATTCCTATTAACATAGTAACATTATATAAGTTTGAAGTTATAAAAATATTGCATTTGGTTCTTAAAAAGTCCATAAATCTTTTATATATTGGGGCTATAAAGCGGTTTTATTAATTACTATCCCTGCTTACCCCATAAAGGATTGAGGTTTTCCTAAATTTTATATTATCTATATAGTAGTTTTTGTGTGCACTTTGAAATTGTTTTCTAGCACTTTATTAAGTAAAATTTAATATTATTGGAATTTTTTATTAATTAAATTGTATTTTCAGATAAATAAATTTAAAGCATATATTCTACATACATAATATTTTGTACTTAATATATATTTGTTTGGTAATTCAGACTTTTATGATAACCAAAGTATTTTTTAACTAAATATATTTTATAATTAATTATTTTACGGCTTACTCACATCATACTTTTTTCTGGTGATATTAATCAGATAGCAGCAACCAATCAAATCGAGGTTCGGCCCTCTCGGGCGCCCTTGAATCGGAATGCTAAACGCGTATTGAGTGACAGCCCAAGTGACTAGGC